GACCAGCTATAGATTTCTTCAAGGAAAAATATTTCCAAAAATAGATTTTTGAAGAAAAACTTATTACCAGCAATAAAAATTTTGTTGGCATTAAATAACCCATTGAGGTTGATATGCCATAAAACAAAACAAAACAAAGATATTTTTGGCCGAGCCAACAGGCTCGGAGAACCCACGGTAAACTCGGCCTTGTGCCACATACATCCTTCGTAGAGTGGGGCTGTTAAATATTAACAGTCAAACAGATTGTTTATCTGTCGAACACTCTGCCTTGAACGAAGAGAAACCCAGACGTGGCTTTGTCACAAAGTTTCGTCCGGGGAGGTAGACAGGCCTGAACCCGTTTATACGGGTTATAAGGGAATATTTTTGGTCGAGCCTCCGGGCTCTGAGAACCCACGGTAAACTCAGCCTTGTGCCACATACATTCCTCGTGGGGGTGCTGTTAAAGATAACAGTTGCATAGATTGTTCATCACTGTCGAACTCTCTGCCTTGAGCAGAGAGGAAACCAGACGAGGCTTTGAAGAATGGTAAAGTTTCGTCCGGGCAGGTAGACAGCCCCGGACCCGTTTATACAAGTTCTACGGGAATATTTTTGGCCGAGAATACAGGCTCGGAGAATCCACGGTAAACTCGGCCTTGTGCCACATACATCCCTCGTGGAGGGTAGCTGTTAAATATTAACAGTGAATAGTTTGAGCGCTAGTTCTTTCGATACACTCTCACTAATCTCTCTAATCGTGTAATACTCTTCTGGTGTACTTACTGTTTAATATATGATATACCTGCAAACCTGGTTTTTGTTATGACTTAATCATTAACTTTGTCACAACACTTTGCTTAGCTTTTGGAAGGCATCTTTCGCTGTCCTAATGCACCTTCTGATTTCAGTGTCGCACTTTCCGGCCTCTTTTAAACTACTTAATTAAGCAGATTGTTGAAAAAAAAAAAGAAAGACGCTTCTCAGAAAATCGGACATCGAAATTCAAAGAGGCAATCGAAGAGCGAACGTTGTTTTTCAAAGGCTAGAGAAAGTAACAGGAAGCATTAGTAGAATGAAAGAAATTACTGTTGAAATGTTATATAATATCAGTCCTCTTACATAACAGGGAATGCTAAACAATCTACTCACAGATGGAGAAGAGGCTTGAGGCAACAGAAATGTGGTTCTACAGAAGGATACTGAGAATATCACAAACCGAACATGTGAATAACGAGGAAGTTTTAAGAAAAATGGAAACAAGGACGCGTATTCTTAAAATCAAAAAGAGCCAGATGAAATTTCTAGGACACGTAATGAGGAAAGAGCGCTTGAAGAATTTAACACTCTCAGGGCATAGTGAAACCGATAAGGACAGAAGGAAACGGATAGTAATCTACATAACGAGATTGTGTGAATCGTTGCTAGAAAAGGGACTGGGAGGAATAATGAAAAGAAAATCTTTAAGATCTAAAAAGTATAGGCAGTCGTGGTGTCATGAAAATCAACAGAAGAGACACGACACAAATAAGAAAAGAACAACAATTTCTTTATCCAACGTTGTAAACACATGATAAAGAAAAGGGTTAAATTCGAAATGAACAAGATTTTTAGCGAGTGTCAAAATCATGCAAGCTGTTGATCTTCATAAATATCACTTCTATATTCTGTTCACTTTGTCGATTTGGTTGTTATTTCGGGCCTCGTCATCCAACTCAAAGCACGTCTAAAATCTTTTTTGCAACACGCTGACGCGTGTTAAATCCTTAATGAATTTAGTATAGTTGAAATTCCCGCTAACATTTTTTGTCAACAGTTACAAACTCTACGTTTCGTTCAATTTGGCAAACCAATCGATGAAATTTGAATGAGCTGATTTGTTTGAAAAAATTTCTTTGACAAAAGCCTTACTTCGCAGTTTAATTATTTATTTAATTTTATTTTATAGGACGTCATGGTAAACAGTATTTTAAAGATTTTTTTCTTTATTTTTTAACAGCGAAAATATATTATTTTTAATATTTTTAGGATTTCTTACTCTTGAGAATGCAACATACAACAGGCCATATGGAAATAGTTCTTTCTGGAGCCAAATTCCGAATTTTTGAAGCGTTTGGCTTTGTGATTTGTTTATTGTTCTCGCAAACACACGGCTAACTTGAAACTAGATTCTTTAAGATATGCAAAAAACAATATTGCATTTTTATTAAATAAGTATTTGTTATTTTAGTCACTAAACTGTTTTAAAATAGTGTAAGTATTTTGTATTTCAAATAATAAAACTTTTACTTCATCCCCAACTCGCCAAAAAATAATGAAAATTTATTGTATTAAGCTACGCACCGTAGTAAAACCAATTGTAATTTTTATTGCCTTTATCTGTTTCCAGTTCTCTCCCAAATTTGGTCTCGATCGTTCAATGTATGGATATTTTACAGAGTGTAACGGACGGACAAACAGAATTCGTAGAATTTTATATATAAATAGATAAACTTTCACAGCTTTACTCAATGCTTTATTGTCCAATGATAACATCAATAAATTGATTAAACACCTGGAAAGGAACAGTATAAAAGTTAGTGGATAGAATATGTCTATATTATCCAATGAAACATGTTTGAATGGGGATATACTACTATATATATATATATATATATATATATATATATATATATATATATATATATATATATATATATATATATATATATATATATATATATATGAATACAAATGAGAATAGGAGAACTAGTAATTGTTGACGCGTTTCGTCCAATGTGGACGTTATCAAGGCAAAATACGAAATGAAATTAATTGAACAAGGTAACTAATAAAAACAAAAACATAATATTTTGATTTTAAAAATGCTACAATCATAAAAAAAGAAAATAACTTACTCAGAAGGAAAATTCTAGAGAGTGCCGCCATAGAAAATTACCCAAATAATAATCTACACCCAGGCTTTTTCCCTATTTCACTTTTCTTAACAAAATTACTGCTCTCACAAACAAATCTACACAACAGATTCATATAATTAAAAGAAAATGGTTGAATACATCAACACAGATATAATGACAATATTCTCCACACATGACAAATGTTGACGTTATTTTCAGTTAACAATATGAAAATAGCGTTTCTCTACATACCAGTTGCTAGTTTTTATTATTTACCTTGTTCAATTAATTTCATTTCGTATTTTGCTTTCATAAAGTCCACATTGGACGAAACGTTCACAATTACTAGTTTTCCTATTGTCTCCTCTACTGGTTAAATCGGAGAAATTTTCATATATATATATATATATATATATATATATATATATATATATATATATATATATATATATTATTTTTTTTTAAAATATGATTCCTTCGCTACATATGAGTTCTCATGTTTCAAAAACGAGAGTCGAAAACCTCAATATAATTATTAAAATTAAATTGAGTTAAAGTATTAAGCCCTATTTCATCCTCAAGCGAAAATTTAAGAAATTAGTAATGTGTAACCGATGTAATTATTTATGAGTCCGGTTTGATCAGAAAACATTTCCTTAAGGGGCATTTGAACTCATAGATAATGTTAGTTCTTTGTAATTTTGACTTAGCTGGTGTGTTGTTATTTTTGAGGATAAGGTTGGCTGACTTAAATTTTTTATAATAGATTATTAATTTGATTTTTTTTATTCGCGTCACTTGGGGTAGTGTATTTCTTTATATGTCTCAGTGAAGATTCGTCTTGTTTGTAATTAATATGCATTTGGTCTTTGTAATAAATGTGTATGTGATTTTTGACTGTGTGGTGACTATCGTTATTACTTTGGGGAGAAATAGTCTAATTTGTTGGTCTATATGTTGGTTAGGGGAACCGTTGTTGATTAGTAAATACTAACATTATTAAGTTCTTTGAGGAAAAGTAGTCGAGAGGATGAATTCTGGTGTGCTCTTTTTAGGAAGTTTTTTATTACTGCTATTTTGTACCTGAGTTGGCATTCGCTTTTAAAGTTAAGGTGGCAAGAGTTTTTGCTAGTGGGTTTTTTTGTATAATGAGGCGATAATAGTGTTATTGCTATGTTTTACGAGAACATCTAAGAATGGGAGTTTGTTTTTTTGACTGAGTTCATAGGTAAAATTAAGGACAGAGTTTTTCTCAAATGTGGTCATAAGTGTATCTATTTCTTTAATGGTATTTGCTAAAATAAAAATATTACGATTTGCTTTCGAAAAATGGAACAACAGGCTGAATGATTTATAATATTCATCCAATACAAGGCTTAAAAAACACTCAAAATAAAGACTTACTGAAGGACGTGTGTGATACGAATATTAAAAGTGGGATGTAGAAAGTGAAATTATGAGGATATGGCGGATAGATAACGATCGATCGTAGATTTAAAGAGGTTAAGATTATAATATTCGGAAAATCTTCCACGACGTATTCTGTTCTATGAATAAGCAGTTCTTGGGAAGAAACTGTCAGAATGGAACTTTTTGGTAAGAACTTCCTTCTTATCAAAAGAAATTAAAGGAAATGAGGCTAATTCGTCTATGTGGACATAACAAAACGGGTCTTCGCTGTAAAGGCATGAACTGATAGCACTAATGAAATTTCTAATAAATTAGTTACCAATCATCGAAAACATTTTCTTAAAGCTATTTACCATAAGGCTATGCCATTTTCTACTAACTAAAACATATGGATTATTTTATTTTGGCCTGTTTTGTGCGTGTCTGTTCAGAATATTATTGTGTTTAATATAATGTTTCTGAAATGGATTATGAATATTTATTCCACTAGTAAGATCATATAACTTTAATATATGAAAAAATATTTGTTCCAATATTTGGAAAATGAATTATATTATTTTAAATGAAATTAATTGTATTGTACACCTAATATTATGTATCGCTGTATAAGCTGTTTGTGTAAAAGTTATTTTTGTAAATATTTGAATGGCAGTTACTCAGCAAGCAAAAGGTTAAATTTCGTGGTGTGATAGGAAGAAATAATTCCGGAGGTCATTGCAGGGATACGAGCACAGTAATGATTATCCAGGAATAGAGGTTCCATTGCCCGATTGCAATAATATTTGCAGCTAAACCGAAGGACTGAAGTAATAGGGGAGAGAAAACAACAGGGGCAGAAAGACTGAGTCGTATTTTGGTTCTCTCGATACGCAAGATAAATAAATACTGTTTTTGACAGAAAGTGAGGAAGTTCGGTGATGGACAAAGAGAGTTGGCAAAAGAGAGAGGGGGGAGGGAGAGATGCGAAAGAGAAAGAGAGAGAGAGAGAGAGAAACAAATAAGGGCTTTCAGTGCAAAAGTACTTGGGAAAATGTTGGCCAATAGACAAAACAATGTCAAGTCAACAAATAAGTGCGTTAAAACAAGGAAGTCATAGACGGATATGAACAAACTGTGACAGATGACGATATAAACATAGTGTGGTAGATAGATAGATAGATAGATAGATAGATATGAATATGCTTATATATATATATTCAGAAAGACATTTACAGAGACAGACAAATAGATAGAAAGATAGATAGCTAGATATGAACATGCAAAGGTATATACATATAGAGTGAGATGTACAGACTGAGATAGATAGATAGATAGATAGTGACATGAATATGCTGATATATATATATATATATATATATATATATATATATATATATATAGAGAGAGAGAGAGAGAGAGAGAGAGAGTGGGGGAGAGAGAAATGCAAAGATCGAAATAGACAGACAGACAGACAGATAGATAGATATATAGATAGATAGATAGATATGAACATACTGAGATATATGTACAGGGATAGATATGAACATACTGGTACATATATATATAAATATATATATATGTGTGGGGTATGTGTGTGGGGGGGTATGTGTGTGTGTATTGATATAATAGGAAAGAACTGTTAGATTGATGATCCGAACTTCTTTAGTAATTTTGTTTTTACTTTTTAAAAAAACAGTGCTCGGTACAGAAGCAGAGCGTAGATTATAATTATTTTTTAAAAAATGATTCCATCGCGACACAGAAATCATCGTTTGGAGCTTCCAAACATCGCTTGAGGGCGAGACTGCCATCCGGTAGTTGGGCTTTAATATTGAAATTAAACCTGAATATTGCTGACCAGTTTCGAAACATAATAATTTCTGTGTTGCGATGGAATCATATTTAAAAAAAAATTTATATATATATATATATATATATATATGTATAACCAGAATTATATTTTTACAGCAAGGTTCACCATTTACAAGGGGCCACTCATGGTAGATGGTTACATTTAGAGGCCATTTGTGCGTATAGGAGTGAAAGATAATGTTGAACACTAGCCTTGAACAGGTTAAGATTGTAGGGATCGTCTAAAATGGTTTTACAGGGCAGTGGTTCGCGGGAAGAAGCTGTTCGAGTGGAACCTACCGATGTGATACAGAGAGAATGTAAGTGGTTCGCGACTATGTAAGTAGCACGGCGTGATAGATAGATAGATAGATAGATAGATAGATAGATAGATAGATGAAGAGACTGAGATAGATAGATAGATAGATAGATAGATAGATAGATAGATAGATGAAGAGACTGAGATAGATTACGAGACTGAGATAGATAGATAGATTGACGAAGAAACTGAGATAGATAGATAGATAGATATATAGATAGATAGATGAAGAGACTGAGATAGATAGATAGATAGATAGATTAAGAGACTGAGATAGATAAATAGATAGATAGATAGATTGACGAAGAAACTGAGATAGATAGATAGATAGATGAAGAGACTGAGATAGATGAAGAGACTGAGATAGATGACGAGACTGAGATAGATAGATAGATAGATAGATAGATAGATTGACGAAGAAACTGAGATAGATAGATAGATAGATAGATAGATAGATAGATAGATAGATAGATTTAATTTTATTGAGATGGATATATAGATGAATACGTGCAAATCGAGATAAATATAAACCAACAAATAGAATGAGGGCGTTGTAAAAATTAAGCGAATATATAAATATCGGTTATGTCTGTGTTTGCATTTCTCTTTCAGGCTAAAAAGCACATGAAACAGAAACTAAAATTGCAAAGAAGACAAAAAGTCGTTACATTCTGCTGACATAATAAGCAATACATCGCGTTAAGGTTTACACGAGGGGAGAACCAACACCTGTGGACTGAGATCGAAACTAGAAAAATATTCTAACTGTTACAAGAACTTACTTACTAGCAGGTTCCGCAGTACAAAAAACAAACAAACCAGTGTGGTTTCCCAAGTCTCACTCCTTTTTCTTTTGCTACGTCGATTTCTTACGTTTCAATAACATTATTATCTGTCGCCATTGAGTTTTTTTTTAACACCCATCGTAACTGAAAGTTGTCACTAAGTATCAAGTGACAGTAAACTTCCTAAACTTTTTCTGCTTTTTTCTCCCCGTTGCTTTCAATTTTATTTTGTGATCTGTTGAAATTGCTAACAGGTCTTCTTTCATCCTGATGTATACACCTGCTCTTCTAGCCTTGATTTAGTGGTCCCTTCAGTTTCAAAATCTCGACAAATTCTTTTAACATCCTTCATAACTGAAATTTGTCACTAAGTGTCAAGTGACAGTAAACTTCCTAAACTTTTTCTGCTTCATTTCCCGTTGCTTTCAATTATAATTTGTGATCTGTTCAAATTGCTAATAGGTCTTCTTTCTTCCTGATGTATACACCTGCTCTTCTAGACTTGATTTAGTGGTCTCTTCGAGTTTTAACATCCTTCATAACTGAAAGTTGTCAATAATTATCAAGTGACGGTAATCTTAAACTTTTTTTCTGTTTTTCCCCCGTTACTTTTAATTTTATTCTATGATCTGTTGGAATTGCTAACAGGTCTTCTTTGTCCCTGATGTGTATACCTGCTCTTCTTGCCTAGATTTAGTGGTCACTTTGAGTATCAAATTCTCAACAAATTCTTTTTACGTCATTCATAACTGAAAGTTGTCACTAGTTATCAAGTGACAATAGACTTTCTAAAGTTTTGATGTTTTTCTCCCGTTACTTTCAATTTTATTCTGTGATCTGTTGTAATTGTTAACAGGACTTCTTTGTTCCTGATGTGTACACCTGGTCTTCTAGCCTAGATTTAGTTTGCCCTTCTTTTTACATCCTTTATAACTGGAAGTTGGCGCTTGGTATCAAGTGCCAGTAAATTTCCTAAACTTGTCCTGCCGTTTTTTTTCCGTCGCTTTCAGTTTTATTCTGCTGGAACTGATAACAGGTCTTCTTTTCGTTGTTCATGATGTCCATATCTGATCTTCTAACCTAGATTTACTGGTCCCTTCGCGTTTACAAAACTCTAAGGAAATTTTCATTTTTGCTTTTTTTAAGTTTTGTTTTCGAAAATAGATTCTGGCTTGAACGCATAATATTAGTTTGCCTTGTCCCATTTTTTTTTTTTTGCACAATTCCTGTTGGGTTACCTTTCCAACAAGACAAGTTTTTATAGCGCTCCTTAACCATCATGCTGTATTCTCATTTCTATAACCGACAGTGACATTTTTTCTTCTAAACATCTTCATTATGTTGCTGTTCCTTTCTTGAACTTCTGATTATTTTTTATTTTCTTTTTTAAATATTGCTGAGAAATTAGTTTCGCTTTTTAAATGTCCTCCGCGCAAACATAACCATTTTTTTCCACATCTACTCTTCAACATTTATTTCTCGAGAAATATATTGTTTTTCTTTCCTTTGTTTTTAGTTGTTTGATTTTTCGTTTCATTACAATCTCTCTTGCCTACTGTAAATGGAACAGTTTGTTTTATTTTGATATGCGAACATCAAGGATTTCCAACCGGGCGGCTGGTGATATTAAAATATCTTCGCTTACAAGAAGATGAATGTCAAACAAGAAATAGTTGACGGTAATGTATCGGAGATAATCCCAGAGGCGTCCATGCCATCAGTGTATCGCAGATTTTAAGTAGCAATCAACTGGATTCTTTACAATGGTGTCTTTTACAGTAAAATATTTGTGCAGTATTACATCGTTTTCATGTTTCCGCTGTTAAAAAAATAATAAGTTGTAACACGGATTAATATTGCAGGAACTAAACAGCGTAAAAGAAAACTTTCTCATTGCTTGTTCGTTCCCAGAACTTTAAGGTGAGAACTCTCTCCCTCTCTCACACACACATATATATATATTAAGACATTTTTATGTTTATACATTCTTTTTATAGATACAAATATTTAAGTAAATGCTCTGTTTATAATAAACAGTATTTACAACATTTACCGGCCTGAATGTCCGAGAAATTTTCATAGAAAATATGCGTCTTCCGACAGGAATCGAAACTGTATCCTATACGGAACCGTCATATAGCTTGACGTGCCTTAACCGAATGGGCTACAGAGGATTTTATTGTTTTTAAACACAATTCGCAAAAAGCGTGAAACCCAGGTTCACAAAAACATATCCATACGACTGAATATATATATATATATATATATATATATATATATATATATATATTATATTTTTATTTATTCGAAAATTATAGCATAAATATGTTATAAAATCACTACAAAATAGCCATTTTGTTTCAACACTACTGGTGTCTTATCATTTGATAGTGTTGAATGTCTTATATATATATATATATATATATATATATATATATATATATTTTAAGACATTTTTATGTTTAACATTCTTTTTATAGATACAAGTATTTAAGTAAATGCTCTGTTTATAATAAACAGTATTAAACAAGATTTACTGGCCTGAATGTCCGAGAAATTTTCACAGAAAATATTCGTCCTCCGACAGGAATCGAACCTGTATCCTATACGGAAACGTCATTTAGCAAGGTCGAATTTACTGTATTAAAACCGAACGCTCTTTAATGTTAAATATAAAAATGTCTTAAAATAATTGTCGGACTTTGGCTATTTCATAATCTGTGACGTCATTTGTTTACATTTGATACGCCATGAGCAGATATGAATGTACGTGAGAGATTCATGGAAGATTGAAGTTTAAAGACAGTGAATTCGACCTTGCTTACCGAACGCCCCAACGACTGTTGCTGTGACTACAGAATATTTAATGCCAAGACAAAAAAATCTTGACTGCTCTGAATATTAGAGCATTTTATCTAACATTTAGGAGATGAGTATTTTGGAAGAAAAGGTTTTAAAAAATAATGGTTAAAATCTAGTGATCTAAGATGAAAGAGAGAGAAAAAGAAGTAAAATTAGACACAAGGGAAGACAAAGAGAAGGGAAACTAGTAAGGGTGAAGTAAAATTAGAAAAGACAATCTGAGAGAGAAGAGGATGAGAGAGAGAGAGAGAGAGAGAGAGTTGGTTGGTTGGTTGTTTTTTGTTTAGCGGCATATCAACAAATCTATTGGTTATTTAATCTAAATATCCCGCACGTATTTTTATTTATATTTTTTTGAGATAATAATGTTATATTGATAAAATTTAACTAATTAACCCATAGCTGGGTGAAGAGGTGGTGTCATTCCCAAGTGTGTTTGCGCGTAAGTGAATATAAAGAACCCAACTGGAATTGGAACTCGGTTCACCGATTAACAATTCCGACCTATTATCCATTACACCACCCGCACATCCAAGCTTACCACACCTGGCATAACCAAGCCGTCACCCATCTAGGCAATGACCAGGTTCGACGTTCCTTAACTCCGGTGATCGTACGGGAACCGGTTCCTCAACGTGATCGAGAGAGAAAGCTAAAGAAAGACTGAAAGAGAAAATCACGGATAGAGAGAGGTATGAGTGAGTGAGTGAGTGAGTGAGTGAGTGAGTGAGTGAGTGATTGAGTGAGTGAGTGAGTGAGTGAGAAAGAGAGAATTGAAAGAGAAGACAGACTAGGAGAAAGAGAAAGATAGATAGAAAGGGATGAAAGAGAAAGAAGAAGACTAGACAAGGAGAGATGAGAGAGAAAAAGACGGACAGAGAGAGGATTGAGAGAAAGAAGGTAAAGAAAAGTTAAGGAAAAAAAGACGGGAGAGTGAAGGAAAGTCAGGTTGGGAGAAAGATAAGGATGGAAGGAAAAGGATAGAGAGAAGGATGAGAGAGAAAGTTAAAAACAAATGAAGGAGGAAAACTGAGAAAAGGGATGAGAGAAAAAGAGATGTAAAGTTAGATACTGAGAGAGGGAAGAAGAAGAAGAAAAAGAAGAAAGAAGAAGAAAGAAGAAGAAAAAAAGAAAAAAGAAGAAGAAAAAGAAGAAGAAGAAGAAGAAGAAGAAGAAGAAAAAAAGAAGAAAGAAGAAGAAGAAGAAGAAGAAGAAAAAGAAAGAAGAAGAAGAAGAAGAAGTAGAAAAAAGAAAAAGAAGAAGAAGAAGAAGAACAAGAAAATCAGATATATTTAGAAAAGAGAGTGATGAAAGAAAGAGAAAGCAAATTAGATACTAGGAGGGAGAAGCGGATGAGGGAAGAAGAAGAAGAAGAAAAAGAAGAAGAAGAAGAAAATGAAGAAGAAGAAGAAAATCAGATATATTTAGAAAAGAGAGTGATGAGAGATAAAGAGAAAGCAAATTAGATACTAAAAGGGAGAAGCGGATGAGAGAAGAAGAAGAAGAAAAAGAGGAAGTAGTAGTAGTAGTAGTAGTAGAAGAAGAAGAAGAAGAAGAAGTAGTAGTAGTAGAAGTAGAAGTAGTAGTAGTAGTAGTAGTAGAAGAAGAAGAAGAAGAAAAAGAAGAAGAAGAAGACAATCAGATATATTTAGAAAAGAGAGAAAGAGCAAGCAAGGAAAGAGAGAGACGTGGATGAGGGAAGAAGAAAATTAACAGTGTGAATATGAGAAATGCAAGGAGAGTTGTTACAGACTGAAAGAGAGAGAGATAAATGAAAGTTAAAGAGAAGAAAATTTAGAGGGACTAAGAGAAAGAGAAAGAGAAGAAAAGTTTGGCAGGTGGAAAAGAGAAAGAAAAGCTTATAAATAACAGAGTTTTAATCTTTGCCGCCGTGTTTTTTTTTCATCGTCAAATGCTGGAATTTTTTTTAAAACCTTCAAAAATCTCTCATCCCATTAAAAAAAAGTCTTGCTTTCCTTCCTTCCTTCCTTCCTTCCTTCCTTCCTTCCTTCCTTTGCCATCTTTCTCCTTTCTTTTTCTGCTCTCAGCTTTCATTTGACATAAAACAATGTTTCTGGCGTAATTTACTTGTTCGAGGGCCTTGTTAAAAAAAACTAATAAAAAAAAATATAACGAAGAAAGAAGAAAAATAAAACGAGAAACGAGTTTCAAATGAGATTGGAGATGGGATTCTTCCAGAAATGTGCTGGCAAAGAGGGTAGCAGCGAGGTAGATCGACTCAATAAATAAAAGGGACACACCCAAGGCATGAAGGAGAGGCGGCGAGGCGGGTGGTGGAGGAGTAGACACACAGCGTTGGGGTGGGGG